GTCGAATCCTGTTAACTCGAACCGCGCGCTAACTCAAACCAAAATCGATTTCTCCTGGATTTCTGTCGTACATTACTGTAATTTTACCCTCGAACCTCCCGCTAGCTGGAAGCAATTTTCATTTCCCTTCAGGTCATTTTCCATATAATTTTACCCTTGATAACGCGAACCATGTCAGTCAATAGGTGACAAGTCTAAATAAACACTGTACTGTAGTCCAAAACATGAAATTTGTTTGAAGCAGCTGCGTGAACGTTTTCCTTTCTTTTACGTTACACAAAACGTGTCAGTTCAATACATACGAATTTAAGAATTGTATTGTTTCATTTTCATTCGGCTTCCCAATACCGTATAATTAAATTTGATTAGAATATACACTGCATGTATAGAAAAGGGAAATCGCATGATTTTTGAAAATGTAAATAGGATGAGCTTTGTACCAGTAGCCCGACATTGTTCTCTTTTAAAAAAAAACCTGTACAGTTCACAGTTCCTGGACTTCTCCTGGCTACCGTTGCTTTGTTATATTTTTCAGGTTACGTTACATACCGATTTATACACTATTTTAGAGATGTATTATGCTATTTTCGCTCGACTTCTCCATTCTGTAATTAAATTTGGTTAAAATGTACACTGTATGAGGAGAAAAACATTAAACACCGGTTTTTCCTTATTTCCGATCATTTGATCTCAACTCCCGATAACTCGAACTCTCGATAACTCGAACTCCCGATAACTCGAACCTTTTTCAATTTCCCTTGAAGTTTCGAGTTATGGGGAGTCGACTGAAATGTAACACTGAACCGTCTTTAGCTATCCATTTTAAACTTTAGCTCCAAAACAGTTTTTAGCGCTTCTCGAGGTCATTTAACGATTCTTAATTAATTTTTTCACGAACTTTAAATAATGTTTTAGTTAATAGTATCTACAATAAGCGAAGAAGTAAAGGTCTTCTGTAGCCAAAATAACATTAACTTTGTTTTGCTATTTTTCCAGGTTAATATGAGACAAACGGCGATGGTGAGTTTGATATGTTTACTCGTCATATTGATCACAACAAGCTCGTCTCAACAGTGCAACAAACCTGTACGATCCATAAAAGGAAGTTACCTGACTGGTCACGTCATATCAAACGGAAGTGCAAATAGTTTAGGAGACTGTTTGGTCGAATGCACCGCTGACCCGCGGTGTAAGAGCATCAATTTCCGCTTTGAAGACTTGCTCTGTGAACTGAACGACGCCGATAGATACACTCACCCGTGGGATTATGGGTCTAAAGAAGGACATGGCTACAGCGACTATCCTTATAAGGTAAATTAACGTTTCTTTTTTTCTCTGGGGCCTCAGCACACCTTATCATACAGCAGGTCTTTTGACTGATAGGTGTCAACAGGAGCCATAATCGGGGACGGAGACCGTAAGCGCGCGCCATTTCTAGTATTGAGGTTGTCCCCATGATATGGGACTATAATTCTATTTTTAGAACAAATTGCGCCATCGCCTGCGGCACACGCGCGTACATGCTGCGAGGATTTTTGCGGATGTCGCGCGGGGGAAATGGCGTCCCAAATTCCCGAAATGTTTCATGCTTTTGGCCCACAAGTTAACGCGTTTACGTCTGTTGGAATTTTGCTTAAGTATTTTCGTCGTAAGCTGCTCCAGTTTGAGTGAAGTAAGACAGTGTCGAATTTAGGTATGTTCCACTGTAAGCTTATATATATCGCTGACCAAGTTGTGTTCCGACTGATGCTTCTTTTACATGAGCTGTACATTACTCCACTTTAAATTTCACATATGTTGAAGATTAACAGCTTTTCCATTA